ATATATATATTTCATCGCATCATTTATTATATTTTATATTTTTCTTCTTTTATATTTTCCTTAAATTATAAGAATTTTTGTGAAAAAATATGAGTAGGATTGTAACAATTGAAGAGAAAAAAGTATACTATAATAGATAATGTGACTAAAATAAGAAATAAACTATGTATTTATGTAATTATTACAAAATTTTACTGCTTATTTAAAATAAATAATATATATATATAATAATAAGAATAAATTAAAAGAATATAATTAGAATGTAATAATAGTTTTAAAATAATTTATATTATTTAGTTATAAATGTTCATGTATCATAATATTAATTATTTTTATAATGATTACTTTAAAATTTATACTCAATACATTTTTAATAAATAAATAAACAATTTTTTTATAGAAAATACATGGAAATTAATTAAAAATATATAAAATATTATTTTGACTCAATACTTTAAAAAGCATAATATTTTAAGCATAACTCAATCAAAAAAATTCTAGAGTATAAGCAGAACATTAATAATTGAAGCCTTCAGCAATAGTATTTAATTATAGGCTTAATTTTTTCTATTATTATATATTTGTTATTTGTTTGGTTGCCTATGAGGTCACTGCTAACCTCATCATTTGTTTGTCCTATGAATCAAAATGGGGACCAACTAGTAGTCGCCAACGGCCACCCCACTTAGCTTGTGTATTATTTGATGTAATGTTTGTCTCCCATTTATTATTATTTTTAAACAGAAGATGTTAAATGAATATAGAGAAAGTGATAAAAAAAAATAAAGTAAAAGATAGAAAAAAGAATTATAATATAGGTAAAAATATGTTGTTTCTTTTTTCTCTAAAAATTTTCGATTTCAGTTCTAGTTCTTCCAAAACAATGTTGTTTTATTTGATCTCTTTAATTGAGAAATCAATTTGAAGATAAAAAATAATACAGTTTTTGAATAGAAAGAGTAAAAGAAATTAAAATTAAAATTTATGAAGATTAAAAATATATTTTACACTATAATCTATTATATTATATGATTAAAAAAGGAGATATAAAAAGTGATAAGAAAAGTAATGTAACAAAATAAAGTTCATTATTTAATTTTAATTTATCCTTTGTTGTCAGAGGGCTTGAACTTTAGTTGAAGTGTAGTAAGTGGGTCATCACTTTGAAGCTCATGAAGAAAGAAAAAGAAGTGTTTGTTAAATATATAGTTTATGTTGTTGGAACTTGGTAGCATAGGGACTCAGTTTGCCTAGAGATCATGTAGCAACACCTGTCAATGCTTAAATTTTGGTGGCAAATAACTGTCACTTTGTTTCCTTCACCTTTTCCCTCTCTCTCTCCCTCTTCTTGAGCCTTTGCTTTTTGTTACAATTTACATACAAGAAAGCAAAGATAATGAGATAAGTCTTTTTTTTTTTTTTAATTCGTTCGGCCTAGTTTTCAAAATAGAATGATTTAAATCACTTTGGTATATTATTCAAGGTGTTACGTGAGTTTATCATAATTATTCAGTTATATAAGTTAAATAATTTTTTCTTTTTCAATCATTTTTACTAATCATAATTCTAGCATCTTAATAAATTAATGACTTAATTCATTTTTATTTATCTAATATTATAATTGTCAGGTTTTGGTCTTTAATCTTAGAAAAGTGAGTTAAAAGTTTAATTTAACCCTACAAAATTAATTTACAAGGTAAGATTGTTCTCCATTATATATAATATTATAGTTTTATTTTTAGTTGATATAGGATCTCCAACACACCTTCCTTATGTCGAAAATTAGACATCTTGAGTGTAAAATTTGTATGGCCTTATTCCTACATGATGTTTAGAGCTCCAACACATCCCCTCACATTAAGGACTGAACATCTTGAGTGTGGTGTTTGTAGAACTGAGCATCTACGAGTGATCCAATAATGGCCCAATAATAGGTATCTCGAGTGTGAAATTTGTAGAACTGGACATCTACGAGTGGTTCTGTAGTGGCCCGATAGCAGGTAGTTTGATAAGCCCACTAATAATTATAATCGTTAGGTTATAAACATTTGTGGGTGTTTGATAGCGGCTCAATAGTAGATGACCTAATAAACCTACTAACAATTAACAATGATATGCTTTGTAAGATGAGAATTGTTCCTCACTTATATAAACTATTATTATGGCCTTATTCCTAATTGATATGGGATCTTTAACACACCCTTCTCATGCCACAGATTGGACATCTTAAGCATGACATTTTCATAGTTTTATTCCTAAACGATGTGAAATTTCCAACATTTAAGGTTCTATTTGAGCAATTTTAATCATTTAAATATTGCAATTGTGTAGTTTTGGTCTCCCATTTTTTTTATTCTAAGGTCTTCCAAATTTTGATAAGTAATTTAATTCATTAAATATCACAATTGTATGATTTTAGTTTCTCAAGTATCACAATTATACAATTTTTGACTTATTTAAGTTACATTTATTATAATTGTCATTGATATATTAAATAATATATATTTATTATTACTAAAATTACTAATATATATAACTTAAATAAGTAAAAAATTGCATAATTGCAAAACTTTAGAGACAAAAATCACGCAATTGCGATACTTAAGAGACTAAAAGTGTTCAATTATAAATTTGATAACCAAAATTACACAATTATGATACTTGAAAGACAAAAAATTGTTCAAAATTTGAAGGATTAAAATTGCATAACGGCTATACATCAAAACCAAAAAAAGCATTTAAGCAAAAATTAATTAGAATAAGAATGGCCTTAAATTAAACTAGATTATTTTCATCATATATATATATATATATGAGTTATATTTAAATAAATTTACTTACTATAAGTTAATTATGCAAAAAATAAATGAATTGCATGCGCACTTCACATATTAAAATATTAGTTCAATTAATATTTTGTTCGATATATTTTATAATATAAAATTTAAAAAAAAATTGTCTATGTAATTTCTAAGTGATGAGCTCTATTGATATATAGGTGCTTTAAAAAGTATGGAGATGAATAGTAAAGTGACTATTAGTGCAAGTATGGGTTTAAGAATGAGTTTTTTTAAAAAATATAATATCAACTCACATTTACCAAAAAAGACAAATATAAAACAGGAAAGGGAGTATTAATTGTGATTTGTTATCTTTCAAACTTGTGATTAAAAGATTTTGTTTATAAAAGGCTAAAAGCTAAAATGAGTTTTAACGTGAAACTATTAGAACCTAGGTTTGCTAATTTTAGGCAATAGTAAAATTTTATCCTTTTGCACCTAAAGTAAAGACATTATAAAAGTCTTTCATTTATTAGGAATGATAACTTGATTTGATTTAAAAAATTAAAAATATAACATATCAATATTAAAAGGTGCAATTTACCCATCGAGCTTAAGAAGAATTATCTCCGATAGAAGATTCTTAAAGCCTCTTATCAGAAACAAGGTTCAATTTACTTTGATTTTATAAATAAAAAACAAATCAATTCAAGCTGCGTAAAGAAAGCATATTTTCCCATTTTTAATTAACGACTTAATCGATTATATATATATATATATATATATATATAAATTATGGATTTTTCTGTTAGAAGTTGTTTGCATTACATTTGAACTTCCCAAAATGTGTTCGTGTCATTTTGCTATGTATATACGCTATCACTCAGCAGTTACTCCAAGACTATTCTTTGTTTATTATGTTATAATTGACTTTTATCCAGTGTTTATTTATTAATAAAAATAACTAGGAAAATAAAAAACTTGTGGTACCTTTCAAACAAAACACAAATTGCGATTTTAAACTTTTCATAAATTAATTATTCCCAAAAAAAATAACAAAGCCTTCAAACCGAAGCAAAAGTACAAAACAAAAATTTTATCTTCAGTGTGGTCGTGAATTATGAAAGAGGAGAAGTAATTGTCCCAGGACAAGGGCCAATTTAATGACAATTTTTCAAATGATTGACGAATCGGTTTAAACTAATATCCTACATTTTGAGTTATTCTTCTATAGCCTTTTAAGCGTTTAACTAACCCAAAGTAGTATTGATACAAATCCAGCCTTCCCTGTGATGTGAATTAATACACCCAATCTCTCAACTTTTACAGCTTCTCACTCCACAGCTCGTTCTTATAAAATTAATCCACTCCAACAAGCACTCACCCCCATCAACAAGCTACTGGTTCATATCTGTTTATATGCAAGAACATCTTTCTCCCCGTCCTCCAAAATTGATTTTTGTCATATTCATGAATACAATATTACAAAGTATACATTGCATCGTTGACATTAGGCATGCATCATTCAACCTTGGCTACCACTTCACCAGGCACGTTGCTTTCTACAACCGTTTCCCTTACAAATCTGGGAATTCATAGAGCATGGAAATTAGTGGCATGAATAAACAAAACAAGAATTGGTCCTTTACAAGTTTGAACCAAGAATGAAGTACCTTTCCAATTTTTCACGTGATGATTGCAATACGTAGATTGAAAGGATGAAAGACAACATGAGCCCTGAATATTTATAAGCAAGAGCAACAAAAGACACTCTTAGTAAAATACACAAATTTATCATGTCCTTGTTTTAAATAGAATCTTTCAAGTAATTTCGATACTCAGCTGACTTTTATTCTTGAAATCCTACAATCCAAATCACTAATACTATTAAAAACAAAATTATGGAGCAGCCAGGTATTTTCTCTCCACCAAATGTAGGATAGGTGTACCAAAATATTTATTCTCTGGTCAATAATTGGCTGGTGGAATGGAATGAAAGTTAATATTGCAACTTGCAAGGACAAAATAATGACATGAAGGCGAACAAGAGACCTTGTTTGTGTGTGTATAGAGATAGAGAGAGGGAACAACTCTGAGAACATTTGGTTATTGTGATTTGTGAGAAATGAAAACAAATAACAACAACCATTAAATAAAGATTAAAAATAATAGACTACTAAGATTAAAACTCACGTACAAACATTTTTTATGAAAGCCCTAATGCTACTACTAACATTACCACCACTGCCAGCAACAACTACAATGATGGTCTCACACGAGCTGTTTATAATTGAGTTTTAATCAACGGTCCATCATTTTTAATCTTGATCTAAGAGATGTTATTGTTTGTTCTAATTTCTCACAATAATCAAATATTCTCATAGGAGTCGCTCCCTGTTTGTGCGAGTGTGGAGATAGATAGAGAGTGAAGGGGACATCTCCTAATTACCATTAGTAAAAAATTAAAGAACATTACTTTTTTTTAATTTTTTAAATTAGAAATGCTCACATGACACTCCCCTTCCAATACCACATCTCCCTCATCGAAGTTGCATCTAGTTTCAGAAAGATGACAACTCTGTACATATAGACACACCGAGGGATGTCAATTACATTGGCGACAAAAATGGGGAGACTAGAAGATATTTTGAGCAAGAGCAAGTAGTATGTTTGCGGCATGTTGTCATCTCAATGATATTCACACGTGACAAATTATATTCTATACAAGAGAAATGGTTTAGCAAAAAGTGTAGTCGTGACAAATTCATCAATTCAAGGAGTCACATCTAGCTCGGTGATATATTTATACCTCCTCTTATAACATATGATTGAGTAACAAAGGAGCCAAAAGCATATTTCAATCATTGATGAAACAGGCATCCTGTAATTCACTAATAAAATTTAGAGAGGAACCAAAATCAGAACGAAAATTTCAGGCAATATGGGAAGAATGAATTTCAGCAAGAAGCTGTTACAGGTATTTCAGGGAATTCATGCAAGGGAAAATTACAATAGAAACAGAACTTGATTTGGGAAAAGCAATTCAGAAACCTCCTGAAACACGGAATCAGAAAATGGGGGAGGAAGAGGAGAGTCTCGTGAGCATTTTTATTTAAAATTAATCTGTCACTTAATTTTTATCTAAGGGTGATTATATATTGTTCTCATTTCTCACAATTGTCGAGTATTCTCACTTGATATGCCCCATATATGTAAAGACTAGAGAGAAAGGTATTTACCTGAACCAAACAGAACAAAAAATCCTGAAGTTACATCTATCTCTGAATGCTCCTTCCTGAAATATTTTAGAAAACATACTGAGCTATTTTTTTTTTTTTCCCAATCTTATATTTTTTATAATTTAAAATGATGAATAGCTAAAGCATATCTTTCAAAGTTCAATCACTAATAAACACAGGAAGTTCATATATCTATCACCAACTGACCCAAAACACTGATGTGTTGGTTCCAGTGTTTAATAAGCACTGCAATTATAGGAGTTAAGAACACTAATTACATTAAAAGGGGAAAAAATTGTTGAAGATTTAGATGCATTTAATGCCTACACTACATGTATATAAATGGATGATGTTTATTGTCAAGTTTGTGAACTGCAAATCAGAAAGAAATAACAAAATAAAGGACCATGTAGTGATAGTAACTGTTGACATAAGCACTACCATTTAAATTACAATTTGTTAGCTATATCATGAATAAAAAGAAGGGGTATTCAGACAAATTTGAGAATCTTGGCAAACTTGCAAAAATTGATACTATCATACAATTTGTGCAAAATGCTAACAAATACTATAGTAGTACAACTAGTAAATGTCTTGCCAAATAACACTACTAGCATAACAATATTTCAAAAAATTAAGAAACCCAACATTATAACTCACCCCTCAAATGCCAGAAAATTGGATCAAGGGTTTCACTAGCAAATAGCAATAAATTAGTTCAAACTTCAAAATTAATATTAACTAACTGTATAAATATATATATATATATATAT